TTTGGAGGGATATGGGCAAAGTGCAGAAAAGCGGGACTATTTAGTTTGGCATTGTGGTCGGTGTGGACTGGTTAGGCCGAAGGGTCTGTTTCCGTGCTGTATATCTCTGTAATGTAGAGGTAGATAAACAGCTGTGGTCAGTTTGAACAGCAGATTAGGCTCAATAGGTTACATGGGCTTCCCCTGTTCCCATTACTATGGTCCTTTCTAACCAGGGTGACAATACAGTTAGGCCTCACGTTGAATGATTTGAAATGTGCTTATTTAAAATATAAGCCAATATAAGATTTTTTTTAAAAAAAGGTCGTGTATTGAATAAACTAATCCGACTCAAAGAGTGCAAAACCCTTCTCCAGATGGATTGCATCCATGTGGTTTGAAAGAATCTAGAAAGGCGACAATATAGGCACTCCTACAGATAATCTGTCAGAAGAAAGAGACACGATGCTGGAAGGCTTGCAGTGAACTGATATAATTCCAAGTTTAAGAAAGGAGATAGAACATGCCGAAGGAATTATAAGCCACTCATCTGAATGTTGATGGTAGAACAAATATTGGAATCCCCGTGGAAGGAGAGAACAGACAAACATCTGAAAATGATATGTATAAGAGTGGATAGTCAGCAGGGATTTCTGAAGGAAAAGGCTGGCTTCAACCTTATTGAAGTTTTGGATAAGATAACAGAGAGACGAGATTTTGATAATGCTGCTAATCCAGACTGAAACGCGGTTGAGTCTTAAATGTGCACTGAAGTGGCCCAGCTGCTTAGCTTTATCAAGCCACAACAAAATCTAAGAAACAAGGAATGAAAGTAGACATAGAAACATAGAAAATGGGTGCAGGTGTAGGCCTTTCAGCCCTTCGAGCCTGCACTACCATTCCATATGATCATGGTTGATCACACAATTTCAGTATCTTGCTCCCGCTTTCTCTCTGTACCCCTTATCCCTTTAACCACAAGGGCCGTGCCCAGCTCCATCTTCAATATATCTAATGGACTGGCCCCAACAGCTTCCTGTGGGAGAGAATTCCACAGGTTCACAACTCCCCGAAGGAAGAAATTCTTCCTCATGGCAGTCCTGAATGGCTTACCCCTTATTCTTAGACCATGATTCCCTAGTTCTGGACTTCTGCAATATCAGGAACATTCTTCCTGCATCTAGTCTGTCCAGACCCATCAGGATTTTATATGTTTCTGTGAGATTTGATCCTCATTCTTCTAAATTCTAGTGAGTACAAGCCCAGTCGATCCAATTTTCATTATCTGGCATCAACCTAGGCACTTGGGAAGATGCCAGTAAAACCCAAGGCTTGTTGACCCTGCAAGTTCCTGCTCACTAACATCAGGGGCCTTGTGCCAAAGTTGGGAGAGCTGTCTCTCAGAAGAGTCAAAGCAAAAGGCTGACGCGGTCATACTCAGACCTTACAGACAGCACCTTCCAAACCCACGACCACTTCCTTCTAGAAGGACAAGGGCAGCAGATACAGGGGAACACCACCCCCTGCAAGATCCCTTCCAAGCCATTCACCATCCTGACTTGGAAATATTTTAACGTTCCTTCACCATCGCTGGGTCAAAATCCTAGAATTCCCTCCCTGACGGCATTGTGGGCCAACCCAGCAGGAGGACTGCAGCGGTTCAAGAAGGCAGCTCACCCCCACCTTCTCAAGGAGGGGGGCAACTAGGGATGGGCAAGAAATGCTGGGCCCAGTCAGTGACACCCACATCCCACAAATGAATAAATTTTTAAAAAACACTGTCCCGGACATCGCCATTCTCGGGAATGTCCTGTTCTTCCCCTCACCGGAGGACAGACCCAGAAGAGGTGGGTAGGTTGAGGAGTTGAGGGGGGAGGGGCGCACAATGGTACACAGTCAGGAACAAGTTGCCTTGGGGGATGTCAACTTTGTTTCCGGATCTTACAATGTCTTAACCCCCGTCAGGTTAAACACTGGGCTAGGAAACCCCCTGCTGATTACCATGTAGCTCGCCCAGGATGTGGCTGCACCTGAAGGACATAGCTTCTTCTGCTGGTGGTGAGGGAACAAGCAAGAGGGAAAAACAGGAGGGCCATGCACCTTCTGGAGGAAAGGAGCAGTCAACGTTTCGGGTATTACCCTTCTTTCAGGACTGCTCCTTTCCTCCAGATGCTGCCTGGCCCTGCTGTGTTACTCCAGCCTCCTGTTGGTCTACTTTGGATTTCAGCATCTACAGTATTTTTTTTGTCTCCGAGAGGGAAAAAAAAACCTACCTGGCCCCGTCCTCCTCAAACTACTTGTCGTGGAAGCATCTGTCCTTGACAGTATTGGAGAGAATAATAACCGCATAGCCCTTGAAGAGGTAAAGACTTGTGTTCACAGTGAGGATACCCTTCCATTGTGCGTGGCGCTATAACCACGCTAACGGGTCAAACAGGTCTAGAAATTCATGGACATCCGTGAGGCACTGTGGGCCATTAGCAGCAGCACAATGTGTGACCCTCATGGCCCGGCTCAACCATTCCCATCAAGCCAGGGCATCAACCCTGGTTCAATGGAAGGTGCAGGAGGGCACGCCGCACCAGCATAGCTGGAAATGGGTTGACAGCCTGGTGAAAATATAACACATGATCATTTGCATGCCAAGCAGCTTAGTGTTTAGAATTAGGTTTTATTGTCACATGTACGCAGGTACAGGCATCCAGGAGTACAACAAAAAGTGTGGAAAGCCACCATTCCTGGCACCATCTTAGGTATAAAGATTCCTAGGTACAAAATCTTAGGTATAAATTGGAAAAATAAAGAAATATGTCCAGCATTACATCCCTTCTAAAGTTGGGAGTCCACGCTGCACTTCCCCTCGAGGCTGGGAGTCCACGCTGCTCTTTCCCTCAAGGCTGGGAGTCCCCTCAAGGCTGGAATCCGTGCTGCTCTTCCCCTCAAGACTGGGAGTCTGCGCTGCTCTTCCCCTCAAGACTGGGAGTCCGCGCTGCTCTTCCCTCGAGGCTGGGAGTCCCCTCGAGGCTGGGAGTCC